CTAATGGTACCATGAATCATAACTTGCCCGACTTTGTAGCTAAGAGAGAGACTGCAGATTTTAACAATAATAATTAATAGTATTTGAATATTAGCTATATGCTAGGCACTATGCAAAACACCTTATAACAAATTATCTTCTTAATCTACACATCTACTCTGTGAGTGGGCCTAGTGGGCAGTTTGTGAACAAAGAAACTGAAACTAGACAAGTTAAAGCACCCAGCCTAAGGACAAAGAGGGAGCCTGGCATCACAGCAATCTTTAAAAAGCCCCCACAACCATATGCATCAAAACCCTCCAGCACATTACCCAAGTGCTGGCAGTTCGGAGAGCTCAAAATGTGAGCTTCTTGACTGATGCAATTAAAAGGTCAAAGGTCAGATAAATTGCTCAGTGGTTAGTAAAGTCATTCATTTACCACAGATAGAGCTAGCAGGAAGAAAAGCCAGGGTCTAAACATCATTTTCTTCTGGGGATAGAGATTTGCTTTCCATATTATTTTGTTGAGCTGTTAAAATGATTTTCAATAAATAGATCCAAGATAAACGGGTAAGCTTTAAAAAGTGTCTAGAGAAACACACATTGAATTATTAGCAGGAACACAAGCTTAGCTTTTTACAACAGCGTAAATTACTTTTATGAAAAGAACACAACTTACTGGAAGGACATTTCAAGGCAAAGGAGCAAGAGGTGTGGCTCTCTGGCCCCTCCCTCTGCTTCCTTCTCCTAGATTAAGAGCTTCTACTTATAGCCCCTGAACACACGGTGCTGTTTTAAGCTCTGCACAACCATGCTTCTTCCACCTTGCATGCACCTGTTCCCTGCTCTGCGGGAGCTCAGGCGGTCTCCTGTACCCTCACCCCTGAAGAGAACGAACCCCTCTTTTCTTGGACCTTACTAAGACCTTAGATACTCAGGACACTTGCTATGGACCAGTACGATGTAAACATCTTAATGAATTTGCTTCATTTTGAAACGGGGTCTCCCTGTATTGTTCAAGCCAATCCAGAACTCGCAATGCCCCTGCCTCAGCCTCCTAACTGCTGGGATTATAGGCATGTGCCACTGGGCCTGTCTCTCTTCTTTCTTTTTTTAAACAGATAAGAAAACTGAGGCTCATTCTGACTGGGAAGGAGCCAACACAGGATCCAAACCCAGATTTCTTTGCCTCTGCAGCTTAGTCTTAAGCCACTGTTCAGTCCTGAGTCTACACTACAGCAGCACACACCCTGGTCCCCATGGGGGAGGGGGACACAAAAAACTATTACCCACTGCTTCTTGAGTTGCATAATAACTGGGGTGAGATTTTGAATATTCATTATCCTCGGACCCTGCCTAGCTTTGATTTTTTGTTGGTGGTGCTTTGATCTTGTTTGGTTCATTAACACACTGTTCTCTACATAGCCCTAGCTGGCCTGGGACTCAATTTGTAGCCTTAGCTAGCCTCGAACTTGCAGCAATCCTTCTGCCTCTGTGGGAGTGTTTTTTTTTTTTTTTTTTTGAAACAGGGTTTTGCTACGTATATAGCCTCCAACTAGCTATACAGAACAAACTGGCCTTAAGTTAGTGATGGTCCTCCTGCCTCAGCCTCCCAAATACTCAGATTACAAGCATATACCATCATACCTGGATCTGCCTAGCTTTTTTTGTTTTTTGTTTTTGAGACAGGGTCTTATTCTTTACCTTACACGGGCCTGGAATTCACTACTGAAGCCTAAACGAACTTCAAGCTCAGCAATTTTCTTGCTTCAGAACTTACCCACATACTAAAATGACAGACATGAGCCAGCAGGGCCAGCCTCTGCTTAATATTTTTGTTTTTGTTTGTTTGAGTCAGGGTCTCACTATGTAGCCTTCACTGGCCTGGAACATAGTTTATAGACCAGGATGGCCTTGAATTCTTAGAGATCCAACTGCCTCTCCCTCCCAAGTGCTGGGATTAAAGGCATGTGCAACCAGTACGGCTCACTGCTTTGAGCACACGCATGTGCATATGTGCATGTCTGTGTGTGTGTGTTAACCTGGATAAAGTTATACCAAACCTAACATGAAAAATGAAAACCATACTAGAAATTCATTCTTCCAAATGATACTCCTTTAAACAAATTATTTCTATGAATTTACCACTAAATATAATCTGGTCATTCCAACTATTTATACCACAGTAAGCCAAGGCTTTCAAGCAGGACATTCTTTTCACCACCAAAGACAGCAAGGCAGCAACATCATCCTACTGTGTCTTTTTGAGGCTGATCCACGACACTGGGAGTCCTTCAAGATTTGGGGTTGTCCTGCAAGTACTCCTTAGATGAGTACTTTAAAAAAGACCCGAAAGTTTCACTAGAACTTTAAAATACAAATGACGCAAAAATGTGTTCCATGGTAGAACACTTGCTTAGCAAGATGGAGTCCATCCCAACAGTATGAGAGAGAAGGGAAGGGAGGGGGAGGGAAAGAAAGTAGGGAGGAAGGGAGACACAGGTGTGATGCCTTACTCTCTTTGATGACATTAACTTGCAGTATTACTTGATAAAGTATTTATCAAGTTGCCCCAACAGACTGTACATTCTACAAACAAGGCATACCCTATGTTCCTTGGCAGCTTCCACAAAGAGAGTACATATCCACTGAGCTGTATGCCATCTCTCTCAGAAAGCATCAGGAAGAAACTGCTGGCTTGAGCATCTAGAATGGTGTTCACCACTTCTGCCCTTCTCACATTTGAATGTCAAGACAAACAAAAGCCAAAAGAAAAGGAACTTTCTGCACACAGAAATGACCACTGACCACAAGACTCTGTCTTAAATGTCACTGAGGTCCCAACTACCCTTTACCTAAAGTTTGCCTAAACATCTCCATTAATAAATAGCTTAAGTTTGATAGTAAATTATGATAACAAGAAAAAATTTACTTTTCAAGTAAGACACAGAACAGGGCTGGGCAGTGGTGGTGCACGCTTTTAATCCCAGCACTCAGGAGGCAGAGGCAGGTGGATCTCTGTGAGTTCCAGGCCAGCCTGGTCTACAAAACAAGTTCCAGGACAGCCAAATCAACACAGAGAAGCCCTGTCTCAAAAACAAACAACAACAACAACAACAAAAAGACACAGAACAGTAAGTTAGCTGGCAGTCACTAGTACTTCCACTGTTGTGACACACTATGCCTTGGGCCAGTGTCTTGTCCTTTTGGCCTCAATTTCCTTATCTACAAAATGAGGCTAACGTTCTGTGACTAACCTACCTCCCAGGCCCTTTGAAGGTCCTCACGCTGCGGATTATTTCTAAGTGGTTATTTGTCCCCAATGAACTACATATGAAAATAAAAGATTCATGAATCTGCTGCTAATGGTTCTTTGTGGCAAGTGTGCTAACAGACTACAAACAAACAGCTCCAACGTTTTCATTCTTATTAGTCCAGATTTTCTTCCCAAAGCCCTGGGTTCGATTCCCAGAACCGACATGTTGTCATCTATCTGTAACTCTAGTTCCAAGAGGATCTGATGTCTTCTTCTGGCCTCCTTGGACATTGGACACACATGGTGCACTGACATACAACCAGGCAAAATACACATGCACATAAAACAAAGATAAATGAAATCTGAAAAAAAAATTCTACTAGTGTTCTGGCCTGGCACATAAAATAATGAAACAGAAATGCTGCCTCAAGAAACATGGACATTATTTAACACAAAATTAAAAAAAATGGCTGGCTCAAGACATACAGTCTAATCCCACATAGGTAGAGATGATTTAATGTTTTAGTAAATTCAAATCAATGCTTTACCTGACAACTAAACATTTACAATGAATACACAGGCTAAATAAGCCCTTTAATACAGAAAACAGCAGGTGTAGACTACATACATTTTGAACAAGAAAAAATGACTAACCATTGACTGTAGCAACACACATATTAATTGATATAACAGAGTGATGTGGACTGAGTATGGAAAAAGGGACTTGAGTGACTGCTTGAACTTGCTAACTTGCTTACTTAGAGACACACACACACACACACACACACACACACATCCCAACAGGTAAAGTTTACACGCGGAACTCAGTCAAGGCCAACCAGTCTTTGTTTCCCTATCTTCTGCATTTACCCAAGAGCTTGGCTCTGGGACAGAAAACTCCCACTCTTGATTGGCTCATTCTGTCCTGTGCAATTAAGCAACACGACAATCCAGTAAACGCAATGGCTCAATTATTTATTGTCTAGACGAGTTTACCAGGTGTTTATGAGAGAACAATGTCAAAGAGGAAAGAGGTTTGTTGCTCTTTAGAGCTGGTTTGACCAGGGATTTATTTTGAATTAAAAAAAAAATGTTTTTTTTTTTTTTAACAAGGTGAGGGGAAGCATAGTTTAACACAGTGGTGGGTGAAAATTTAGAAAGAACACGTTTGTCAATTTCCTATAGGAAATATGATTCTTATGAAAAAATCATAGCCACAACTAGCCAGCCCAAGAGGCTGTGGGGGAACACCAGTCCCCACCTCCTAAGGGGTACAGCTGGCTACTGAAGGAGCAGAAGCTGGGCAAGGCAAAGAAAGTGGCTCGGCACCGAGCCGCCAGGCCCAACACGGGGGCGGGAAGGAGGCTCTTTCCAACTCCCCCACCCCAATGATCTCCGCCGGCGTGACAGTGGCTCTGGTGGCCCCAAGTCCCTAGCCTCCGGGAGCAGGCATCGGAGGGCCGTGGTTGACTTCTGTCACCCTCAGCCTAGAATGCCCTCGCTCCACGGTTCTACCCCCGGAATCTCCCTCCGCATCTCCCCCTCGAAACTTCCAGCGCCGCTTCCCTTCCCAGGCCGGCTCCTGTCACCAGTGGAGCAGTCCCTCCGGGGTGACCCTCTGTGTCTCCACCTAGCCTCTCGCCTCTCTAAAGTGTTCCATTCACAGTTCTAAGCACCCCTAAAGCCGCAACCGCGCGACGCCCCGCAGTGTCCCCCAGCTGGCATGCCGTCGGGGAGGTGGCCCCACCCTGCACCCCCTTCACCTGTCTCCCGGGCTGAGGCCCGACTGGCCGGGCTGCGCTGACTCCCGGTGCGAGCAGCTGGGCTCCCGAGGGCCGCCTGGCCTCTCCTAGCCGACGCGATCAGGCGACACACCGAGCCGGGTTGTGCCTCAGCGATCCGGTTAGGGCTCGTTCCCTCAGCCGCGACGTCGGAACCCCAGGCTCCCCCTCCCTGTCTACACTGCAGCTCCGGAAACCGCTGAATTACAGCCCCTCCAGCCAATCCCCACCCAGCTCCCAACGGGCCAAGACACGCCTCCGTGCATAATTAAAGAACGACCCGCTCTCAAGGCCACCCCGAGGCCTCGGGGCGAGGGCAGTACTACCGAAGCCCCGCCCATCAACCAATGAGAAGCGCCTTGAGAAGAGAAGGTGGGGTCGAGAGGCGTCTGGACACGCCTACCTGCGCGGGCTGTTCCGAGAGCTTCGTGTTCCTCCCGCCGCGGTCAAGGGAAGAGCGGAGGCCTAGCTCACAAAAGCCCGGGGGGAGGGAGGAGACATTAGTGGAATGTCCTGCTGAAAACTCAGCTGAGTTCCTGGCAGTGCGTGACGTCAAGACACTTTAAATGCCCTGATACGGCTCGCCTCTGCCCGCTCTCCCTTTTCCCGGCCCTTGGCACCACGTGGGGGCGAGATTGTGAGGTTCTTACCACGTGGGAATCAGCCAGTTAGACGGTCTCCGTGTATCACCACACATATGCATTTGGGTTTCTGGGGACATCAAAAAAGTACATGGGCGACTCTTGACTGCTCTGAACTTCAATGTCTGCGTGAATCTGGACATATACCCGGAAATATGACGTGGAAATAGAGTAATTACTAGATTGCGTGGGGGAGAATCATGGATATAACCCAGCGCTGTGTTCCATCGCTTCAAGCATGAAACTCAAAAGGAAGGCTTCTTGGTCAGTTCACAGAAATGCAGAAAGCATACTCATGACAGCTGACATGAAAACAGTATTTGCCATTTCCCATTCCCACGTGTCTGAGTTTTGTGTTGTGACTTTTTGCTTTTGTTTTTGTTTTTCACATCACTTTGTTATACTGGCTCTTAAAATAGTTCAACAGAGTTTTGATCAATTTGTTTCCTTTAAGAGATACTGATTTTAGGGGCTGGAGGGATTCCTCAGCACTGGCTGGTCTTAGAGAATTCAGATTCAAGTCCCAGCACCCACCCACATGGTGACTCTCAACAATCTGTAACTCCAAACCCAGGGAATGTGAGGCTCAGACCTCTGCTGGCACCAAGGACACGCATGGTGCACAAGCATGCCTGCAGACAAATCAACACACGTTAAATAATTTTTAAGTTAGGTACTGATTTTAAAACTAACACACACACACACAGAAGGCCCATAAAATTTTCTCCTTCCCTTCTGATGGTTTTAGGATTCAGTTATCATTAACTAGTCTTTTGCCATTAAGCTTAAAAGTCCAATTGGGAGAAATAGTTCTGAGACATTCTTCCATCACTGCTTAAGACTGAGGTGGTAGGTCTTAGGTCATCTAGCCTTTTCCGAGTTCTTGAAAATATCCGACCACTTTCCCATTGTGTCTGTTGGGTGTGCAAATTTTACTGAGTTGAAACTGGCGGTTCACGGTGTGTGGGTTTGCTTTATGGGATAGAGAACGAACTTTGCGTAGTGCAGTGATTTGTGTGTGCATGTGAGGATGCAGACTTACAAGTACATCAATAGTGTTTGTGTTGCCTGTGTTTAACACAAAGAGGGATAAAGATAAAAATCTTAAAAGGGCTATTATCTCACCACACAGATAACCCCAATGACTTTTCCTTTTTAAAACGCAGCTCATACATACCCAAACAGTTCAGGAAACTTGACATTTTTGTTTTCTTTGTTTTGTCTTGATTTTCAAGACAGGGTTTCTCTATAGCTTTGGAGCCAGTCCTAGAACTAGGTCTTGTAGACCAGGCTGGCCTCGAACTCACAGAGATCCGCCTACCTCTGCCTCCTGAGTGCTAGGATTTAAGTTGTGTGTGACCACCGCCCAGCTTGGTTTCTTTATTATTAATATCCCTTGGTTTCTTGAGACAGGATCTCAGAGATTTTCCAGCTTCTATCTCCTGAATGCACTGAGATTTCAGACACTCCACACTGCATCCCACCTAGGTTGAAATTTATTAATAAAATCGTCTTCCTCCATCAGTCCTTTTCCCTAAAGATAGATGTGGTTATTAATTTCTGGTGAGAAAAAAAAATCAATGACTCTTAACCTTTCTTGGGTCACTGATCCTTCTGTAAGACTGACAGAAGAGACTTTGGATTCTAGACCCCAGGAAATAGCAGCCTAAGCTTTTACTCACATCTACTAATGGCTTCCCATATGCCTGAAACCTTTCCTCAGTCTCCAGACTGGGACCTCAGTTACCACGTCAGCTCCATCTTTATGAATATGTAATGTTTGGAACAGAAACCCAGGACTTCGAACATGCTAAGCACGTGTTCTGCCACTGAGCTACTTCCTCAGCTAATACCAATTTTCAAAGTAAGAAGCAGGGGCTAGAGAGATGGCTCAGAGGTTAAGAGCACTGGCTGCTCTTCCAGAAGTCCTGAGTTCAATTCCCAGCAACCACATGGTGCTCACAACCATCTATGATGAGATCTGGTGCCCTCTTCTGGTGTGCAGGCATACATGCAGGCAGAATGCTGCTTACATAATCAATAAATTAATTTAAAAAAAAAAAAAAACAAAGTAAGAAGTGAGTGCCTCCTTGTAGGATCCCTAATGATGGACCTGAATCTCCTACTGCCCAGGAGATTCACTCCAGTAGGAAACTGTTGTATTTACTTAGGGAAGTGTAGGGAGGGAGAGCACAAGCAAGATATCCCACCCACATATCACCTAATCCTCTTTGAGCTTGATAGCCCGAGCAGTTGACTGATACCCTGATACTGTAGTGTTTGTTTAATGATTTCCTGCTGCCTTTTGCTTGTTTGTTTTAGGCAGGGTCTCTGTACGTAACTCGGATTGACCTAGCTACCGTCCTGACTCTGCTTCCCAAATGTTAGGATTACAGGTATGTACCACTCTGCCCATCTCATTGCCTCTTTTCTTTTTTCTTTTT